CATCAGGAATATATTACTTGTCCCAATTGCCGCAAGGCTGTGCTGGTCAAGATGCTTTTAAAACAAAGGATGATTCCCGAGGAAGCGAAGCACGTTTGTGATAACTGCAAACGCTCATTTGTTCGCGAGGACAAGCTTAAGCGACATATTATGTCAATTCACACCATGGAAAAACCGCATATTTGTCATATATGCACCAAGGCCTTTTCGCGCAAGTAAGTCCTCTTTTAGTTACTTTTCAATTCTGCGAGATTACTGTAAATTTTAAAAATCTTTCTTTAAGTTTCCTGTTGAAAACCATCTTAAGTTTCTCGTGCAATGACGATAGTATCCCCCATGCACCACATTAATTGTTTTAGACAGAACGGAGGAGTAGCTAGTGGCAGTTACTTGCGCTTATGTTAAATCGGAATGCAAAATGCACTTAATGCGACACTTCAAATTTATCACACCTATCTACCCTGGTGGTCTTTTTTTTGCTAAGGGGGGTTCTCCATTCTTGTGATTTTTTAAATCATAAAAGCCACTCGCACAAGTGAAATAGTACGATCGAAATCAGAATGATTGAATACAATATAATTAGAATTAATTAATTTTAAAATTGACGATAAACAACAGTAGTACATGAGATATAATTTGGTCAGGGCAATAGACAAGCAGGACCTTCTCCACGGATTTCGACTAATCTAATTAGGTGGCAGGAGGGGGGAGGAGCGTATGAATGGGACAAATTCTAAATGCCTCTGTTGCGCAGGCTGTGTAGGTGAACACGTTGTGGTTATTTAATCAGTGTCTCTAGGTCATATATACAGACATCGTAATCGCTATGGGCACTAGCAGGTGTGGCAGCACCCTATTTGTCAAATTACCCGATGTCGTTTTACTGGCCCGTGTTAGGTGAGTGGTCAAAGGAAAACAGAATAACGGAATGTGGCCGTCTCCCTTTAGGATAATCGTCGTTATCTTTTCTCTCTCTCTGTATTTCAAACGGACACGGATTCTTTTCTGGGAGCATATTTGGGGTTGCACTGGTGCTGCTCAATCTCAGCAAACAGCACATGTAAACGGCAGCCTCCTCTTCCTCACCAAAAGAGATAAGCTCCAGGGAGAGTTACCCCCAGTGGTTGAACAGCGGCTAAATCCTGTCTTGCGGTGTCGCACTAGCCGTGGTACACAAAATGGGTCCAGGCATACAGGGCAAAGGGATTTCCAGTGTAGGCAAAATGAGATTTTAGAGTAAATAAACTAGTCCTGCATAAATTTTGGTTCCAGTAGCCGATCTGCCTGAGAATTGTACGGAGGTGTCCTACTAATCGCCACCCCCTTATTACAGAGAGATTGTTGAAGGTTGTTTGGCGCAAATGCCGATTGCCGATCGATGTGGGCGTGCGAAAGAGTACCGAATACGGGGAGAATCTGGCATACAGATCGAAAGGAGCATCTTAATCGATAATCGTCGGCAGATAGCGATTGTGGGTCACTGTCAGAAGTGGTAGGCCCTTGGAGTTGATTGATAATCGTTCAAACGGTTAGGTAGCTTTGATGAGTTGGTCTTGAGCTTTAGACAAGAAACGGGGTTTAACTTCACAGCAAATTGGACATCTAGTGACATTACGAATCTCTTCCATCGAAATGGGGACATTCCTGTCTCGAAACAAAAGATCTGAGGACGGTAAAGTGATTCATGTAGTTCTTTCAAATTGACATCGTTTGACAAGGTCCCACAACAACTACGAGAAAGCGTATCTGCCGCATGCTTTTCTTTACCAGTTGGATAAACAATGTTTAGTTTGAATTGCGACAATTCCAAACTCTAGCGTTAGATCTTGTCACTCTTCACTTCCCCCTTCGGTGAGTACCGTAGATAAATTACCAGAACGCTGATCAGTAAATAGCTTAATACAAGTGCTCACCGGCGATATCTTCAATTTTAGTTCCAGTTGAATTCATTATCAGTCAATCTGGCCTTCACGAATGAATGTGAAATTTATCGTTCCAGGTGTTGTTTGCATGAGTAAAAAAGACGGCTGATTGAACACTGAAACAGTCCTGAATTTTTAAGCTCGTACAGGAGTTCATCGTCAGAGGTAACAGCCAAACAATTAGAGAGGTCATAAATCGATCAAGTACCGGTGACGCATGTCTTGAGCTGACTGCGCAGGGCTCTGTACGCCGGCGCCAAATCGATCCATCGATCGATCGAGTTCCCATCCGTGAATTAGGCTTCAATTAATCCTGGGCTCGTCTTGCCTCCAGCGCCTCCGAATAGCTTGACGACTGTGAAGTTGAGCTCTTGGTCCCTTTTTGTAGGTGAGAGCAGCAAATTGTGATAATTAATCGCCTCGTTGTACAGCCAGCTTATGTTAATGTCTACGTGATCCGAGTATGCGTTCAGTTTGACCTGTGTAATTACAAGGATAGCTTCGGCATGGAATGTGATGCACTACCCCAGATTGCTTTTTGGGATTTAGTTGGTCTTTGATTTTCATCACCCTGCCGCGCATGGTTGGCTTGGGTCGGTGTGCAATTCCAGTACCTAGTCTCACAGCGATGCGCACAGTCGCTTCTGAGACGGCCCTGCTTCTGTTTGGGTCTTCGGAAGACGGACGCGTAGACATAGAGTTTGGAAAGCTCAGGACGATAAACAGGCTGTTCCTGTGCACGATCAGTCTTTTTTGTTAACCTGGCCTTTCGCTGGTTATCGGCTTTTGTTGTGTGTGCTCTCACCCTTCTGACATC